AAAGAAGCCTCAAGGACAGAAGAGGCAGCTGTACTGGGAAGTGCGCGCAGAGGCGGGGAAGAGCATCCGCACACGCCACGCGCGACTTTCGTTAACTGTAAGACGCGAAGATAGGCTCCCTCCGACGTCCGGATGGAACAATCACCGCATCCAGAAGGGCAATGGAGAAGGTCATCCACGACTTCTACTCGGATCTCTTTGACAGCCACGTCCACCTGCAACCATACCGCTTGGAGCAGGATGGATATGTCGTTCCTGCAGTTCTCTCTTCCGAAGTCCGACACGCCATCTCGTCGGTGAAGAATCGTACGGCACCCGGTCCCGACAGGATCAGACCCGAACATCTGAAGAATCTTCCGCCAGTTCTCGTCAAACTCTGGCTCGACTCTTCACTGCGGCGTAAGCCGTGTCGCAATGCAAAGGTACCCCACCTCGTGGAAACCAGCAAGACACTGTGTTGGCTCGTAGCAAGAAGGGAGATTGTACGACATTGGCAATTATCGCCCAATCTGCCTGCTGTCTGTAGTCTACAAACTCTTCACACGAGTCATCCTTAACAGGATTGGAAGAACACTAGACGAAGGACAGCCATGCGAGCAAGCAGGGTTTCGAAGAGGATTCAGCACGATCGATCACATCCACACGGTAACGAAGCTCATTGAAGTATCGCGAGAGTACAAGATGCCGTTATGTCTCACGTTCATCGACTTGAAGAAAGCCTTCGACTCCGTTGAGACAGAAGCGGTTATCGAAGCCCTGGGCAACCAGGGTATTCCTACTCAGTACATCAGGATTCTTCGTGAGCTCTACAGCAACTTCACGACCAAGATTTCACCATTCTACAAGGAGATCATCATTGACGTCAAGAGAGGGGTCCGACAGGGCGACACCATCTCGCCCAAGCTCTTCAGCGCCTCTCTCGAGAACGTCATGCGTCAACTGGAATGGGAAGACATGGGAGTGAAGATCGACGGTTCGGCCACCATCTCCGCTTTGCTGACGACATCGTTTTGATAACACCAAACATCGAGCAAGTGTGGAAAAGTCGGTCTACGGCTGAATGCTAACCGAACACTTGTTTAATGCAGAAACGGACTGGTTTCTGATACCCCATTCACGCTCAACGGAACGACCATCTCTGAATGCTCTAGCTATGTGTACCTAGGTCGTGAAATCAATATGATGAAACTCAGCTAGCTCCAGAGCTGAGCAGGAGGAAGCGAGCGGCTTGGGGAGCCTTCAAGAACATCGAGGGAGTAGCGAAGAAGACGAAGAACACCAAGCTCCGTGCCCACCTCTTCGATTCCGCGGTCCTTCCTGCCTTGACGTACGCCTCAGAGACTTGGACTCTACGAAAGCAGGATCAACATGCGGTGCGTTATTCAAAGCGCCATTGAAAGGGCGATGCTCGGAGTTTCCCGCTACACGCAAGTGAGAGAGGGAATCCGGAGCTCCGCACTCCGCCAACGATCGAAGATCAGAGACGCCGCCGCATTTGCCAAGGTTTCGAAGATCAGGTGGGCCGGACACGTCATGCGTTTCGAGGACGCTGGACCAGAGCGATCACCGACTGGATTCCACGGGATGTCAAGCGAACGCCTGGACGACCGCCTATGCGATGGTCAGACTTCTTCGTGAAAGCTCTGAACGAATGGTATGAAGTTCATCGTGTCCCTCGAGCAGAGAGAGTCATTGGGCAACTCTTGCAAGTCGCAGGAGCGAATTGAAGACCTTACTGCCGGCGCCCGTTCGAGCAAACTTGATAATCAACGTGCGAGCACAGGTGATACACGGTGATACTTTGTTTTGTTATATTACAGTGTCGGCCATACAAAAACCGGCCTAGCCTGCCTTCTGAACTTTCGTTCACTTTGTAGATGCCTGTGTTTACCAGCCCTAAACAGGGAAGTCCGCCAACTTACCATGGAACTTTGAATGGAGACCTTGAACTTTGAATGGAGATCTGGTAGATCATAAGTTATTTACAAATATAGATAGCAAAACTGCAACCTGCATTTCACAAGCAACTTATGAGCAGGTAAAGTTTGTAATGGTGCAGTAGGGTGGAGGCTTGGTGGTGAGCTGTGAAGCATAAGCGAGGAATCGCATACGTCGAATCGAGTCGTGTAAGGTTCGACGTTCGACGACTCGATTCGACGTATGCGATTCCTCGCTTATGCTTCACAGCTCACCACCAAGCCTCCACCCTACTGCACCATTACAAACTTTACCTGCTCATAAGTGTCCGCGCAGCCGCGTTTGCCTCGGCACAAACCTGTATTTTTTTCCTTCGGCAGCCGACAGAACTGTGACCCGTTTTTCACCAGTTATTGTATAAAACACGATAATTTGATAGTCTGTCTAGAATGGTAGCAGGAGGTGCTATATAGAGGGGAAAATGGCGAAAAAGTCAACGAAACGGTCAAAAATCTGCAGAAAACTTTTGTTTTTTGACTCAGGAAGCAGTTTCGGACGAGTTTCCCATTGGCAGTTGACCAGTAAGCATTACGGCAGATTCTGCTGCATGGATGTATTAATACATACATGCAGCAGAATCTGGTACGATGCTAATGGGAAACCCGTCCGAAATTGCTTCCTGAGTCGTGTAATACAATAGTTTTCTCCGGGTTTTTGACCATTTCATTCACTTCTTCGCCAATACAGCACCCGCTTCATATTGTACTTCGCAAATGAAGCGATACGAGCTCGCAGCGTCACCATCGTTCAAATATTTGTGGGAACGGGGTGTCGTGCTATTGTCCTATTGTACGACTTCCGGGGGGTTCATGCTTATAGAGCGCTTTATGGTAGTACCTTTCTGTTGCCGATAACAGCACCGCAGCCAGCGCCGTTCGTAAGGGTGCCAAATCATGACCTGCCTAGCGATCTAATTCTGCCACGTTCTCGGAAATTTATCGCTCCCTTTTACATTGGCAAAAGGTGTGGAGCGGTACTTCCGCAGTCGCTCGGTAAATGCAAGGATCTGGTAACAGGACGGTTGTCCGCTAGCACATTCCACAAGCATGACATAAAGCGCGAATGGCGGCGATAAATCCTCGGAGGAGGGAAAAGCTCACCCATACGCGTATGCGGCGCGGTTGTAAAAAAGAGGAAAAATCAAGAATAAAAAAGAGATTGAACAGATAGTAGATGAAGCTGTTTTGTTATGATAACTGCTGTTTTTAACGCCGCAGCACGCGTTCCGCTGCGTTTATACTTTGCGGCAGCGTAGCGTAGCGTAGCGCAGCGTAGCGTAGCGCTTCCAGCGTACGCCAGCGGCAATGCCGAAGAGAGGATGCATATCGATCTAGCTTCACCAGCGTCACCAGCGGCACGCTGGCGTACGCTAGCGGCACGCTAGCGTACGCTAGCGTTTCTCCAGCGTTTCACCAGCGTTTTGCTAGCGCTTGCAGCGGCAGGGAGTAGAGACTATGTGCCCGTCGGAGACGCAGAAGCGATGTGCATTGTAGAGAATATGTGCCCGTCGAAGACGCAGAACGAGCAGAAGCGATGTGCATTGTAGAGACTATGTGCCCGTCGAAGACGCAGAAGCGATGTGCATTGTAGAGACTATGTGCCCGTCGAAGACGCAGAAGCGATGTGCATTGTAGAGACTAAGGGCGAGTGAGATACGGGCAATCGATGTGTTTTGTCCCCTCCAGCTCTCCCATAGTCTCTACTCCCCTGCCGCTGCAAACGCTAGCAAAACGCTGGTGAAACGCTGGAGAAACGCTGGCGTACGCTAGCGTGCCGCTAGCGTACGCCAGCGTGCCGCTGGTGACGCTGGTGAAGCTAGATCGATATGCATCCTCTCTTCGGCATTGCCGCTGGCGTACGCTAGAAGCGCTAACGCTACGCGCGCGAGCGCTACGCTACGCTTACGCTCCTACGCTGCCGCAAGATATTAAACGGCAGCCTTCCGAATGCTTATCACTCACACTGGCCACCATAATATGTGCATAACTTCAGAACGCTACTGGGCGGCCGATCTACAGCATCTATCATAATAAAACAGCTTTCAAAAAACTTTGTAAAAGCCTTGCGGTTCCATGCCGATATCTAACGATTACGGCTGACCGGCTCACCAAGTCAAAAGAGTGCTGTAACGTTAAGCCGCTAAGCTGAGAGGGTAAAAGCGGCCTTGTGCCGGCAAGCGAATAGGCGTACTCGCCCGGGAGATACCCGTAAGCGAAAGCCTGTCGGGCAACACTTTTGCCACACTCAGTATTCTTTGAGGATAGTAGTATGTTATAATGAGTTAGTGGTAGTGGTGAGCAGAGGATACAGAAAGGTCGAGTATCAGGGCGAATTACTTCAGTAAATGGCGAAACTGGCAAAATGTCCCCTTCGATAGCGGAAACGACGCAAACAGCTCTTACCGCAAACGTGCTGACGTCAGAAAGCCGCTCCGCACCCGTGCATGGGTGAGCTTTTCCCTCCGCGGGGAATTATCGCGCCATTCCTTTCTACTGACACTGTCACGTTAGCAGACTAATTTCGTCGCCAGCTCCACACCTTTCGTGATGAGGTTTAGTAACCCACCCCTGCGACTGAAAACTTTCCCTATGTGACCCTACCTTTGCTCTTCACCGTTTTGCTAATGCATTTAGTCAGCTTGCCACATCTTATTATTTAAATGGCGTCTCGACTGACGAGCCGGGCCGCGTCTATGGGTGGTTTTTACCGTGCTCAACTTTCTACGATTCTGTATATGTTTCACAGACAACCTAAATGCATGTTCATTGATATCTCCTATGAGAACATAACAACGCTCACAGCCCTACAACACTGACGACAATCCAGAAAAAAAACACTGACCCTTACACAATTCTGCACTCAGTGGAACCTTACCAAAAGATCACTTTTAGTCCTAATCACTGTAAGGTACAACAAACCAAAACAACAGCAGTAATCCAGGTAATCACCAACGGGAACAACACAATTTATTTAACAAATTTTCAACAAAGAGAACATGTTGAGTATCATGAAGAGATGGAATATTATACGACACCGTTATAAATGAAGTTGAACCTGAAAACAAATCATAAAGAACCGTACTACAAACATACTTCAGAAACGAGGAGTGTGTACTTAATAGTGTCATTGCTTTGTGAACCACTTAATTTCAAAAGCTTGTAAAAAAATCTTTGAACCCGAGAAAAACGAGAGGATATTTGAAATTACCTGCTAAGAGCCATAGGTAGGCTGGCAATAAGTGGCCCATAGGCGGCAGCATTATCATACAACTCGAACAAAGGAGCCGCCACCAACTTGTAGTTCTTTGGGACAGCAAACATCGCTTAAAATAACAATTAAAAAACCCCACCGGAAATATAGGTTGGAAGGAAAGTCCTGTCAGTGTTTTTAGATAGCCTACAGTTTTTGATCTTCGAAGCTCGAACATGACGTAACATGCTAAGGTTGTAGAACATTCTCGAAGCTTTTCCACAAGAGGTATATCAAGGCTCCTGCTCTTCCCTGTGTTTATTTATGATGTCAGTTTCACTGGAGCAGCTTCGAGTGATCATCTTCTATGAGTGGCGCCGCGGCACTGGAGCGACGGCAGCTGTCCGTAACATCAACTGTGCATTGGGGGAGGACACCACCACCGTCAGGACTGTCCACCGTTGGTTCGCTCGCTTCGCGAAAGGAGAGACGATCTTCGAAGGCAAACCTCGGTTGGGACGCCCTGGAGGACTCCGCCGTTCTAGAATTGTCAGAGAGGATCCGGAGGCTACCACCCGCAGTATTGCGACAAGACTAGGGTGTAGCCATACAACAGCTCTCCGCCTTCAGGCCCTTGGCTACAGAAAAGTCCTCACGCGATGGATACCTCATGCTCTAACAGATGGCACGCGGTATGCCAGGGTGAGCATCTGTCGATCCCTCCTTCTACACCGTAACCGGAAGGAGTTTCTGGAGGATATTGTGACTGGAGATGAGAGTTGGGTGCTCTGCGATTCTAACTTACGCCGTGCCATGATTCTAACCTACGCCGTGCCATGTGGCTACCTCGAGGAGAAGACCCGCCCACGCAAGCAATCGGACCTGCACCCCAAGAAGGTCCTCCTCTGCTGCTTTTGGGATTCGAAGGGCATGCTGCACCACGAGCTGCTCAAACGGTCACCGCTACCGTTTACGCCGCCCAACTCCAGAAACTCGCGCAAGCTCTTCGAGAAAAGCGGCCGAGACGAGCTTCGGTGCACCTCCTCCATGATAACGCCAGACCACATGTGGCTAAAGAGACCCACCGCCAAATTGAGGAGCTAGGCTGGGAGACCGTTCCCCATCCACCATATTCTCCAGACCTAGCCCCCTCCGACTATTACCTGTTCCGCTCCCTCAAGGCTTTCTTAGGTAAGAAAACCTTCAGCGAATTTGATGGACATCAGTCGAGAAGTTGCCTACTTCTTCGACTCGCAGCCTCCCCAGTTCTGGAGAGAAGGTTCGCTGACTTGCCCGGTGGAGCACTGTAGTGGCTAACAATGGCGATTACATTGTTGACTAATATCTATTTCATGTGGAGTTAGAAAATAAAAAAGAAAAAAAACACAAGTGACAGACTAGCAATCAAATTGAGACAAGTCACCATCAAATGATGAAAAGAACTGACAGTTTCAAATAACCCGAATAGGCCCCGAAGAATTTCAAAAGAACCTAGTTTCTCCTGGAGTATTCCGGTGTGGATACCCCCTTCAGCGACGTCAAATACCTCTATCATTACGGCTTGTATGAACGACGCTGAAACTGCCTCCCATCTGGGTCTGCTGGCTCCTGCTGCAGTGTGGTAACCCTCACGCTGCCCCGCCTAGAAGGCAGGCATAGATGAGAGGCAGATTCACCGTCTATTCAACCAAGCTGTAATGAAAGAGGTATTTCAGGCCGGGAAAAAGGCTCTAAGTACAGAGATATCTGAAAAACCCAACGTGGCTTTTGGGTTTCTTTTGAGACCTCCGAGTTACTGCAAAAAATATTTTGGCAACCTGTTTGTGTTTTGCAACACTCGAATACTCATGAGGCACCGACAGATCACAATGTTAAGAAAAAAAGAACAATAGTTGGAGGTAAGCTGGTGGCTTCCACAAAAACTCACCTTTCTCTGGCATCTGCACGAGCAGCAACTTCGTGTGCTCTTTCGGTCGCGTGACATGAGCAGGTATGTATGGATACTGTAATTGCCTCTAAAAACAATGGAAAGGAAAAGAAGGAAAAGAAAAAAAGCGCAAAAAATATTGGACCACTAGCTTGCTTGCACACATAAAATGAAGCACATAAAAGAGGTTCCCCGAGGTGGTGGTGGTGTTATCACGAAGGGCGGGGTGTGATTCACCTACAGCATCGGCTGAAGTGAAACACTGGTACACTGTAAACCATCCCATGTGAAAAATGTAAACGAAATCGACCTTATGAGATTAACCAGTTGCCTTATGCGCCTGAAAGCAGTTTTAAAACACACGCGATTACATACATGACCCGTAGAAACCGCTACTTGTCCAAGTGACTGCGATGAAAGGTCGCCACCTGTAGAAGTTGCCTCACCCATCCCCTAAGCTCCCACTCATCATCATGTTGCTCAAGTGGGTGTCAGTAACGCCTCCGTTTGTCCCTGTAACCAGAGCCAGCATCGTGACGTGTGAAACGGCGGTTTCATTACGACACCCCCCTCTGGAAAAGGATCATGGTACGACCCCCTCCTTTCTGGCTCTAATTGTTTGCTCTGACGAGAAGGATTAGATACGTAACGACTCGCAAGCGCTTGCGGCCGCGTTATGATTCCATGGCAAATTAGCGGTGGAGCAGATCTGTTGGCCGGGTGGAAATCGCGGGCTTTTTCTGGGGTGATAGCTTTTTTAGGTATGGGGCTTTGAGAAACGGAAGGCGGCATGTTGAAGCAATGTCTCTACTGTTGCGTTTTCTACTTACTCGCAATCTGAATCTTGCCCCGTTCGTGAATATTTCGGATGGGTTATGGACGCTTTGGTGGTGAATCGCAAGTGGGTTTTTATGCTTCAGATGAGAATAACTTCTTTAACACGTTGACGACGAGCCGTTTTTTCATGAATTGCCCGTGGGACGGCACGTTTTTCTTCGTAGAAACTCAGTAATTTTCGAATAAATGAATGGCTACGGTCAAAGTGTTTCAAGAAATGCAAAAGGTGAGAATACGAATCTCGATCTTCGACACAATTTAGCTTTTATTGCTCCAGTCTTCCGAAATCAGTCCAGTTTTTACCAAGTTTTTCTCTGGAAGCAGATTTGGCTGAAAATTTGTCTCCCGGGGTAGTTTGATCTCCTAAAGAGCAATATCGCATCCCTTGGCCCGAATGTTTGTTCTTGAACTAATTTTATGAAAAGAAAGTGAAACAATCGCGCAGATTTTGAGTTATATAATAACTGTGGGACAGCATTGGGTGACGCCGTTCCACAAGACAAACTTGCTGTCGTCCACCGTTGACGGAAATCGTCGTCCGTCGTCGTTAAGCAGATACGATATTCTTATTTAGGGGGTCGAACTAGCCTAGGAGATATGTTTTCAGCACAATTACTTGCCATGAAAGAGACCGGCGCCTGTGGCACGGGCGCCAGGCAGTTTCATGGCAAGTAATTGTGATATTCGTGTTCACGGGGTCAAGCTGCCCCAGGAGACAAGTTTTCAGCGAATTTGGTGATTTATGGTATTTTGGCGCCGGCGCCTGTGGCGCGGGCGCCAGGCAGTTCGTGCCAAGCGACTGTGGTATTCGTTTCAGAAGGACAAGCTACCCCTAGGGATACGTTTCCAGCGAACTTGGCTGTTCGTACATCTTTCATTATTAGAACAATATAGTGGCAGACATCATTGTCTGCCATCGTTGTCAACGTGTTAATACGCAGTCTTTTGCGAAATCAAAAATGCCTTCAGAACGCCCACTATTTCTTCTTTCCAACAAGCTCTACAGTTTTTCTAAGACCCGCTAGTTTAGAAGATATTTTAGATGGGTCACCCTTGGGTGACACTCTGAGCCACTCAAAAGCTCGACTCCCTCTGTGGTAAGGTGACATTCTTTCGCGAACTTCAGTATGCCTTAAAAACATATTCCCGTTGAACTGAGTCAAACCATCACTTGGTTCGGCCCGAGTGTGCGCCGTGCATTGCGCTTCTACGCAGAAGTGGTAGGAAGGTGTACCTTCTGATTTTGATCATTTAGTCATCTGCGTAATTAAGAGTTCATGCTAACTACCGATATTGTTGATCAGTTGATTCAAGATTTTTTAGTCTTCCTTACACCTGGGTCGTCTGCAGCTTTCCGCCCGATCTATCAAATTAGGGATAACACTTTTGAGCTGTTTGTTGCTCATTAACTTGCGTTACGAGCCCCATCCCCAGCGGCCAAGGATGACTCCATCCCTCCCCTGAGGCTTTGCGCAACGGTGCTGTACCCTTCCTGTAATCTACTAAAGCTACCCAACTGGTTTTTATGCTCGAGGGACACGACAGTGAGGTCGTACAGGTGTTCATTTAACAACCCGTGGAATCCAGTCGGTAATCGCTTCGGTCCAGCGGTCGTCCCCAAGACGCATGACGCGCCCAACGCACCTGATCTTCAAAACCTGGCAAGCGGTTACGTCCCTAATCCTCTATCGTCGACGGAGCTCCGGAGTTCCTCGACGATTGAAGCCCTACCCATAAAGGGACGAAATATGCCAGCGGCCCTATATCTGTGTACATAGGTGTAATGCATTTCGTGCGAAACCCGGCCTTGCCGCATACTGTTTGTCTCCTTTTACTTTCAGCCGCTGTCTCTGTTCTCTCACTCGAGTGGAGCTTATGTAACGTCGCTTCTTGGAAATTACTCCAATCTTCGACGATATCGTTCAGTCTTTACTTCGTTGGAGGGCAAATCAGATTTTAAGAACGCGTAGACCCCAAATCCTCGAATCCCATTATTTAACTGAAATGAATGACTGTGTTTGCAAACTTCTTGCCTAACAATTTTCTCGCTACATCTTCATTTCGCGATAGCCCCTGCCGGCTCAAGCATAGGCCGAATTCTGCTCTGTCAAGAGCAGAATTCGGCCTATGCTAACTATGCAAGATTCTCCTGTACAGGTTCTGGGATGCGAAGTGAGTGCTGAACAGCGAGCTGCACCTGTAATACACGGTCAGAGCAACCATTTAGGCCACTCAGCCCCTGGCTAATCCTCTATCACTTTATGAAACCGCTCGGTCATGCACCCGTTTGTGAAAGCCGCCCGTTTCTTAATAGTGACTGATCAACAAACGAAATCGTTCAATGTCAAAGACTTACCCGAGGCGGGTCAAAGTTCGGTCTCCACCAGTTGCCAACTTCGTCCTAAAAAAACTGTGGATATGCCACTACACAAAAGGAATAAAAACCACTTAGTTTGGACAACTGGAACGAAAATGTGTAGAACCGTACATCACGCATTGATAAGAGTAAAAAGAGAAAAGTCGGCATTATAACTGAAAGCGTTAATAAAATCTAGGATTACTTCTATCTTCCACTCATTCTTCACTCCATCAGTCCTTCCAAGAGTGATATCGAGCAATCGTTTCATTCCTTCTGTCTCCTCCTCTCCTACATCAAGTTCACCGCCAGGTCTGCAACAATTTTTTTTGAACAGGTTCCTTAACACAACACTGCTTGAAGCAGACGTCATAGACAGTTAAAGTGTAGTCCGATTTCAATGCAAAGCCTGTTATCCACCCCAATTAGGAACGCATAGACCTATAATGCCACCCGAAACCGCTGGGAAAGAAATTCACAAGAAACAATAGAATACAAAAGGCTTACAGCTTGAAGAAGGTACTGCCGATCTGCAAGAGAAGAATATGAGGGAGAGAGTGCTCGTGAACGATCAGCACTGCATCTACGGAGCGTCTCATGCCAACCTGAAAGATGGAAATTATACAACTCCTCATGGACAGCACTGCTACACAGGAAGAGCTGAAACTATTGGCCTGGCCCATATGTGATGGCGTTTTTTCTTACACAAATTTTGTATGAGAAGTGAGAAATGATCGAAGGCGTTCTATACTATTCGATGGGTAATGTCCTGCTCTAGAAGTTGTTATGGTTGCCGTTCTACCGCTTCCTATTTTTTAACGGTTTTTTAATTCCATTAAAAAGGACTGACAACTCGGAAGGCAGTTTTCGACACCACCGTTTTGCTCTGAATCTTAGAGCTCGAATTCCGGAAAAACCTCTGACCATGTTATCTACACGAACAAGGAACGTCGCTTGAAGCTTGCTCAAATATTCCACAGCTGGCGACTCGGACCTTGTAAATGTGCATCACATGGGAACCCTTATAATACTTTATTAGTATCGGCAATAAGATAAACAGTGAAAAACAAGATATGCTAAGGAGAGGAACACAGATTCCGATAACTGCATCAAGAGCAAGGGGAAGTGGTTTGGGGTGCGACAGGGAGGGGCAGATTTTGCAACTCAGAAGGACAGTGGCCGCCCAACACTGTAAGTTCGATGGCGGACGTAATTCGAACTCCGGATACCATCTTAGTAGGTCCGCCAACTCGCTGCGGCCCGCTCCCATCTTCGCTTGAAGCCACGAAGGGGGGGGGAGGGGAGAAATCATATAGCAAAGACAAAACTCGCAAACGTCGTAATGAGGCGAAGAAGACCTATGCCATGAGAAAAAGAGAGCGCAAAAAAGCTGACGCTAAGATGCGAATGATACCAAGACAAACACTACACTGTAAGTCAGTCATGGAGGGAGACATCTCGAATCAAGATAGACGAAACATGAGGGAAGGACATGAGAGAGAGAGAAGAGAGAGGGATGAAGCAGAAAAAGATCATTAACACTATGGATTGACTAAGAAGGTGGGGGACCCGGAAGGGGGGGGAACCAGTCTACATTGCTGCATAACAACCAGTCTGAGGGAAAACACAGTCAGTCTGAGCTATTACAATCAGTCTCAGAAAAACACAACCAGCTGAGATAACCATAATCAGCCTGAGAATTTGCAAACTGCCTGAGAAACCAAAAGACTTAGGGTTGCCTGCAGAACCCATCCACCGAGTTTCGAACCTCTCCCATCAAATGAATGAGATGCTCAAGAAAAAATTGAAAGTCTTGAACGCATCTACTTTTACCTATTCTTCGGCATGAACTGCCGTGAAAAAGTTAACACAGTGAGCTCTCAGTTGGACTCAATAGGGCATTAGGTTCGATGCTTGTCTGTGAGGTCGAAATTGAAATCTTTGAATCGATCAAACTATTATAAGCATTTCTAAGAGATATAGCTTCTCTACAAATACTTAACAAATAGGCTTGTGCGGTCCAAACTTTTCAATTCAATGCGAAAAAGAGATTTTGTCGGAAATGCTCAATTTCGTCGACCTGACGCTCCTTCTTGATCACCAAAAAAAATAACACGAAAAAGAACCTTCAAGAAAAAAAAACAGAAGGACTATCTCGAAGAGCAAGAAGTTCTCTGCGGAATAATATGAAATACAATGGCAGAACTTCTGAAAATTAGCGCGAAATTTTGAGTGAGAAAAAATATCATTACTACTGGGCTTTTTCCAACAATGCAATAAAGTCTATCTAACCTTCTCGTATTCTTCTCTCATTCTTTGGAAACGCGCTTGCACAGAGTGGTCCCTTTCTGACTGAGCATCCTTTGTGCCGAAGGTGTAATTTGACAATGGAAACCTGAATATAAAACGTGCTAGTGACTACACGATTTGAATCATTAGAAAAAACTTTTATGTGTTCCAAAGCAGAACTGAAAAGCAAACGACTACTACAAATAGAGAAAAACTTTGGTTCCGTCTTGCAATGTGTCGGCCCCTTTCGGTCAAAGAGCCGCACTTAATATTTTTGAGGTGCGAGCACAGGCTTGTGACTCTAACAGCCAGCTGCTTCTCACTGTATGTTGAAGTATCGCTCAGTTCTACGAGGATCAGTTTCTCTACACTTCTCTTCTCTCTTCTTCTACTCAGTTATCTCTCTCTCCACCCTAACTGCCGTCGAGTTCCCAATTGCCTGCGTGCCCCGCGTCACCTGCATGTGCCCATCTTTAAGTGTCATCCTACCACGTTGACAAGTAGTTTGGCTAACCAAGGTTTTATGGAAGATAGCTGAAAACAACGGAGTTGCTTGGTAACATTCACAACTCGAATCCGCGCATGCTGCTTACTCATGCGCAGCAACCATTCAGCCCTTTCTCAAACTTCTTGTTAGTTTACTCATATCTACAAAAGTGACGTCCTGAAATAATCCTGAAGCACTATAATGGACACTGCATGACTAAATTTTACTGCAACGAGACCGCTATTGTTCAAAGTGTTCAGAACATTGTTAAAACTTCCTATCACCACTTAACCGCTTGCCCGACCGCGGCAGATATGCTTGAAACGATCTTAAAGACAGCTCCCGCGATAAAAGTGTCTTGGATAGTTGCTTTTCAATTATGAAACAGTAGCTGATAAGTAATCTCCCAAAGAAGAAAACAGGCAAGAAGCGTCCTCCAGAACAACATAAACAAAATCGCTCCCTCACAGTCACACCTCCCTGCGGTCTCTGTGCAACCCCTAGCTCACAAATCTCTCTATCACATCTCGCAGTAGTTGATATCATCCAGTGCAAAAAAAGAATACAAAAAAAAACAACAAAAACGCAGAGGAAAAACTCTTGGAAGGAAAAAGAAATTTAAAAACTCGGTGTCCGAATTTTGGGTTACGGTAGCGCACATTTTAGTGCACTGA